TAAAAAAAAAAAGAGGGAGGAAGAGGAGGAGGAGGAGGAGGAGGAGGGAGGAGGAGGTTGAACACTGACAGCCCCCAGGGATTGGGCCTTGAAACACACTCAAGGAATCTCTGTGTGCCCTCTCTACAAGAGTCTTTTCCTTCTGCCATGGATGTGCGAGGAGCCCAAGCCCTTTCCTGCTCTGCCTGGGGGCTGAGGGCAATGCAAACCAGCCACAGTGCCTTTTAATGACTACTCTCTTTGTCCATAGCTCCAATTAAGTTATTTAATTAAAAGCCTCCTTCTATTAGAAGGTGTGGGGGTGGCGAGAGTCATTGCCAACCTCCCACTACACAGGAATTCTGCTGGGTACAATTAGAAAAGAAAATTGTTTCTCCTTGATTAAGAAGTTCTGGGGCACCTGCAGGCAGCGTTGGGGCAGAGGTGGAACTATGGCGGGGCTCAGAGAACGCTTATCACTTTACAAAGCTCCTGATGGGCTGTGTTCTGGGCCTCCTCAGCCTGGGAGCTCATTTGTCTTCTGAAAGTTTATAAATTGGATGCTATGACTTTTGAGAATTACAGCAGGAGTCCTGCCAATGGTATAAGATGGATGACACAATATAAAGGAGTTTAGCTAGTTCTTAAAGTGGAAACTAAAGATCAGATCTGATCTAAAAAGATCAGAGTGAGAAGTGGACTCTCCCAGTGGGACATGCTATGGAAAGGGATCAAGAAAATGGTAGGAGATGGGCCAACACCTGGTGAATTAGACACCTGGGGAAATAAAGGAACCACTACAGAACACAGAGCAGGAGAGAAAATAGCCTGGCTCCTCTCAGGGGTTCCTTATGACTCGGTCACCATATCAGATTGTCGAAGGATTTGAATGTTGTCTGAAAAAAAATTATTTTCAAGAATTACTATGAGATGAAAAGTAGCTACTTAAAGTGACATAGTAGGCTTGTTCAAACAATGTCCCAAAGAAAATTTGGTTCCAGAATCACAAGTAAAATTAGACTTAATACCATTTGTATGTGTGCTATGATGCAATTTTTAAAACATTTTAAGTTGGTGAAAATAATATTTCCAAAGCAATTGGCTTTGTCTTTTTTGTCATTATATTATACTTCCTGCTTCACCCTCTGCATTTCCAGTGCAATTAAGACCTCACCAGAAGACAAATGGTTCACTTGCCGCTAATTAGTTAAAAAATATTTCTAGTTTATTGTTTATATAATCCAGATAAAACACAACACTAAAAAGAACAAGAAGTTTGGCACATGGACACAGACTTCCACCCCCAATATGTGACCCTGATATTTGTTAATAATATAGAACTTTCCCCCTAATATCCAGGTACTGACCCAGGCATCATTTTGTCAGTGACCTCTTTTGTCAGTTGCCATAATAGAAGCATCTGAGAAAGATCCAGATATCTTTTTTTTAAAAAACCCCACATATTTGATGTTATGAACTTTAACATTTAAACAAAGTCTCATATTTTGAAAAGAATGTGTCATCTGCGGCCTCAAGAATCTTAACATCTCAAGTGACATTCGGGTCCAAGTTGCATAAAAATCAGCCACTTGCTTTTCAGGTCTGTGCAGTGCCCCGCACAGCTCCCTAAAAGGCGGAATCTGCCAAAGTGTAGGTGAAATGCTGTGTGCCTCCTGGACGTGTGGGCTTCTGGAAGAAAACCATGTCCTTTGTTCTTTGGGTTTCTGAATAATAGATGGTAGCCAGGAGGAAGACAAGGAGGAGGATGTTCTTTTAAAGAATCGTCCCTCCCACCCCCACAGCGCGGGAAACTGTGAAGAAGGACCACTGGAGAGAACACAGCATTAGCTCCTCCTTGGAGCGAGACCTGGTTTGCAGGGGCCACATCTCTCTTCCCCTCTGCACATCGTGGCTCAGGCGGTGGGCCCAATCTTTGCTCATTAACTATGGGATCAGCTGTCCCGGGTGCTGACAGCTTCCTTCTCCACCTTCCTGTCGCCTGTGGCACCTGGTACATGGCGTGAGTCTGTGCTTGAAATCTTGTGCAAACTTCCTCGTGCCTCTTCACTCTGACATCTGTTCTGTGGGGTGTCTGGGCCACGCTGGCCCTCCTTCTCCCTAAAGAGCCCTGCAAACGTCAGCTTGGCTCTGTCTCATGACACCTGCCCTCAGCTCTGCCAGGAGGTGAAGGTGGGTCCGACGTTGCCCCATGAGCCTTCTCTGACTCTTTTGAACTTTTTATCAGGCCACGAGGAAGGCCCCGGAGGCTCAGACATGTGCCCCTTGCAGAGATCCAGTCACTTCCCACCATCTGTGCCCGTGTGGCCACTCAGACCAGAGCATCAGCTCAGAGAGAGCAAACCTCCTAAATCAGCAAGACATTTACTGGGGGAATGGCTCCCTTTTGTCAGCCGCTATAATAGAAGTGTCTGAGAAATATGCTCTTAACAGTTACGGGGAAAAGGAAGTAGTGATGCAGCCAGCTCCCAATTATCTAAGGGCCACTTCTCCAGTTTGCGAGCTTCCTTTTCTTTATAGTCTCATTTCTCCTTTTGCTACTGTGTTCAGGGTGAACACTGCAAGGAAAGAATGTACGCATTTATCTGTTTTGCTCTTGTTAAAAACAAATGGTCTGATCAGAAGTCTGAAGGAATTGGGGCTGAAACCTGAAATTAGATTTGGGGATTCCCTATGGATTGCATTCCTTGCCATCATAACTAGAAACACTCCACAGTTACTTGTCTGCTTCCCTATTCATGCTCAGGAAGATTTATCTTAAACAGAATGAAAGAGGATTTTGCTGTTAGTTTCTCTGCACAGGATTTTTCCTACAGACTGAAGAAACTCTGACCTTAGCAATCAGTGCATCCAGGCGGAAAGAACCAGGACAGGGTGACTGACGGGTTCAGAGCTACTGTGTAGCGTCAGAAAATGAACTTCTCTGAGGCTCCTTTTTTCTCTCTGTCAGGGGCAGATAAGAGTAATTGTTAGAGCTGCTGACAGGCTCACAGTAGGAAATGTTTATGAATGACTAGCTTGAGGCCTGTCATGGCAAGCGCTTAGTCAGGCCAGGGCCCTCTGAGAGGAAGGAGGTGTGTTGCCCGCTCTCCCACTGGGTGCTTCGGGAAGTGCTGGCCTCTCAGTCCCTCTGAGCCCTCTCCTGTAACGTAGGAGATGGTGGTAAAGATAATTAAGTTGTTCCCACCAAGGTCAAATCCATAGAACACACAACTCGGCCCAGGATGAGTGCCTTGTAAGCTAAAGCAATTTTGGCTTTTCTACCCTCTTAATTTTTCGGGAAAGTCTATGCTGGAGACACCTCAATTAGATAAAAAGAAGATTTTGCTTGTGAAGATTTACTGTCTTTTCTTGTATTTACTTACTCTTTGCACAGATATGTATGCGAGACACTGGGTGGGTCTTCAGCACTGGGCTGTGCCACAGGGCCCGGAACAGGAAGTGTGGGGGAAGTGCACAATAAGCCCAGCCCTTGGATGGGTGACTCCGGATGAACAGTGGGTTAGAACCCAGGAAGAGTGATGAAGTAGCACCTTCCCCGTTTCACCAACAAGAAAATGAAATGACGATACTGACAGATAACCCACCCAAAATCTTAGAGAATGAACTAAGAGCAGGCCTAATGCAGGGTTTCCAAAACCCAAAAAGACCCTGCGTGGGGGCCTGAAGTGCCTCCTTGAGTGGAACTGATTTGAGGGGAGGTCACATCCCAGGCCCTAAACAGAACAGACCTTTTCTGGCTCTATTTGGTCTGAACTGTAGTGCCTAGCCCAGCACTCACATAAAATAGTCACCTAATAAGTATTTATTGATTGATTGATTGCATTTGATTGATAATCTATAGTCACACACACACACACACACACACATGCTCATGCCGCCTTCTTTTTTCTTGTTAGAAAAACCAACAAATAAAACAGGTCATACACCTCTACTCACTTTTAGAATCACATATAGTTCAGCCCAAGGAGAAGACTGAAAAAGAAAAAAACAAATCTAAAAAATGTCATGTGTCAGACATTTAACTTGCCCGGCTTGTGTCTCTGTGATTTCACAGCTCCCGAGGTCCTCGCCCAGAAACCTTACAGCAAAGCTGTTGACTGCTGGTCCATCGGGGTGATTGCCTATATCTTGTAAGTATTGCTTGCCACTTAGGCTTCTTTTTTCCCTTTTTTTTAATTGTGGCAAAATAGACATAAACAAAATTTACTATTTAACCACTTTAAGAATGCAGTTCAGCAGTATTAAGTATATTCATATTGTTGTACAATCATCACCACCATCCATCTCCAGAACTTCTTCATCTTCCCAAATTGAAACTCTATCCTTATGAAACAATAACTCCCTGTCCTCTCCCCACCCCCACACACACCCCTGGCAACCACCATTCTACTTTCTGCCTCAAGGAATCTGACTACTCTAGGTTCCTCATGTAAGTGGAATCACACAGTATTTGTCCTTTTGTGTCTGGCTTATTTCACTTAGAATAATGTCCTCAAGGTTTAGCCATGTTGTAGCATATGTCAGAACTTTTTTTTGAGGCTGAATAACATTCCATGTTGTGTGTATACTACATTTCACTTATCCATTCATAACATTGCTATACAGTAAACACAGGTGTACAGATATCTGTATGAGTACTGCTTTCAATGCTTTTGGGTGTACTTGTATACCCAGAAGTGGAGGGCTGGATCATATGGTAATTCTATGTTTAACTTTTTGAGGAAAACATTCTTATTTCCCAAAGCAGCACAACCATGTTACATCCCCAACAGCAATGCACAAGTGTTCCAATTTCTCCACATCCTTGTCAGCACTTGTTTTCCACTTTCTGATAATAGCCATCCTCATAGGTGCAAAGTAGCACCTCATGTGGCTTTGATTTGCATTTCTGTTACAGCTACTGATATTGGGCATCCTTTCATGTGCCACCTTGGCTTTCTGGGGATGCACATTACTATGAAAATATTAGGGTGTCCCTAAACGAAATCACAATGAGAAAAAATGTGATGGAAACCAAAATGTAGCCTTTGGATTCCTCATTTCTTCTCAGCTCACTTATTGCCACTCTCCAAGAAATGCAGTCTGAGGTCATAGGCTCATTGCAGTTACTTCATGATGATCAATTTTGGTTTTTATTGTTATGTTTTATTGTGCTTAAGTCTACTATAAAGTTATTTTTAAGTTACAATTTCTTTTTGCAACACTTATTATTAAACATACTTTTATGATGGGTTTAGGTTAACTAGTTTCTGTAATTGATAGAAAATTAACTCTTTCTCCTCATTGTCCCCAAGAAAGGGAACATTTCCTAGCAGACAGAGCCCACTGCACAGTGAAAGACTGTGATCAGTAGAGGACTGTGATCAGAGAAAGTTCTGACAGTGAGTGGCATCCACAAGGAATGCTGGGAACACACACATACACACACACACACACACACACACACACACACACACGTGCCTCATTACCTGAGAAGAAAATGATCTTTCTATAGCATACATTCAGCTGGGCAGCTTTTGTAGAGACTAAGATAAAAGAACAGGGGGTGGTGGAGGAACAAGTTTAGGGGGTAGGTGAGATTAAGCATTTCATTTGGGGCATGTTAAACTTGAGACCCCATTGAGATATCCGTGGACTAGTGTATGCACACGTGGAGGTCAGAGGTCTAGGGAAGAGATACTGGCGTATGGGTCTGGGTATGATTTGAACAGTTCTGCATCCAAATCCTTATAAGTATACGATAAATTATTTGACTGGATTCAAGTCTAGCATTAAGCAAAGAAAAACTGTATTTCATTATTTCTATTTTAAATATAAACTTGCCAGTTACTTGGTCATTACTAGCTTCGCTCCAGGGCTTCGTCTCAGGTTGATTTCATGACTGAGTCAGAATTGAAATGGCAGCCTGGGCTTCTGTTTGCCTTGCTGCCTTCCAGAGCCCTGAGCCTCTCAAGCAAAGAATAAATGGAGTTTGTATGCCTCAGTTGTACCTTCCAAGATGTTCAGATCCTTGAGTGATAGGCCATATCCTGGATATAATTGCTACATAATATGGCTATGCTTGAAGAGCCACTAGTCTCGAATATATCATTATCAGTGTCAACAACTACCATGTCTTGAGTGCCTTTTCTGTTCCAGGCACTGTGCTAGGTGCTAAAGATAGCAAGATAACAAAGGCATGATGCCTCTCATCAAAGTACTAACAAGGTATATGGTGGGACAAGAAATTCCATGAGCAGATTAAGTGACATGCAGGGAGGCCCGTGTACAGCTGTAGATGTTCCTGGGGTGAAGCACCATTGAGGATAGGGACATTCAGGAAGGAGGAGGCACTATCCCAGGTATGTGTAGAAGGCTGAAGAAAACCAGCATAAGCAAAGAGGAGAGAAGAGAGCATTCTGACCAGGGGAGAGACGCAGGCACAGGAACGGGTGCCTAAGGCATGTTCAAGGGCTGATGTAAATGTCCTGAAAAAGGCCTATGGTCGGTGTTCTGGGCACAAAACTGGCTCTGAGTTGAGTAAATGTTAGAAGTTAGAACTCGTGGGTATCGGCCTCAGACTCTTGCTACTTCCCACTGACCCACTGTGCCCGGACTCCCCATTCCCATCCTTCATTGAAGAATGACCAGCACTCACCATCCCAGGGAAGCCAGGCATCCCATGGGGCTCCCTGCCGAGCTCTTCATTCTTCGCATCACCTGTGATGGAGAGGTGAGCCCCTGCAGGGTTTTGGGAGGCATTTTCATTTGACAGGCTGAGATATGAGATTGCAGCAAAGGGGGCTGGGATAGGCCGTGGCACCAAATTGTCTCCTCTCCACATGCTATGCAAACATTCCTCATTTTGCCGGTGCAGCAACTTGATGAATTGGTTCTCTATTGATCTCCACGCTCATTTCTATACTATCCATCATTTGGGAGGAGAAATATCTTTCCTATATGGGGGACTCATTTTTTAAAGCACATGTGATGGGTCCTTGTCCTGCCAGGAATCCCCTGTGAGGATCAGGACTTGCAAAAACATCTCTGCCTGCGGAGCTCAAGCTACTGGGAAGGGCTGAGGGTGGAGTGGCTGGACACCCTGGTGAGCATGCTGGTGTCCAGTCTGACGGGGTTGGCTCAGCCAAGACAAGTTCCAAGAAAATGAATGTCCCCACTCAAAATGAGATTAGCATTTCGTTGACCAAACTTGATTTTGTGATTGCTCGCAGGCTGCTTTCTTCTCACAACTCCAAGGGGAGAGTCTAATGATCACTTGCCTAAATTATGCTCAGGAATACAACACGCTATGGAGAAAGGCAGCGAACTTTCGCTGATACAAACACTGAGGAAGATCCTGAGGAGATTAGGCATTAGAGTGTTGGGCAGGCTGGATGGTCAGAGTATACTTGCCATGGGTGGTGAGGGCACTTACCCATGCTGTGACCTAGACCTGTGTGCCCAAAAGAAGCTCCAGGCAAAATACTAGGGTAGCCCCTTATTTTTTGACTGGCTTCCTATATTGTTCAGTTTTTAAAACTAGGCCACATAAATACTGATTGGCCAGTATACACAGAATAATTAGTTTTTTTAAGAGTGGAACTGAGAATGCCTGATCTCCATGCTATGTCCATTTTCTGAGACAAAGGATGGCCTTCACCAAGGTAGTCACCTTTACTTTAACACATTGACAGCTGCCTTTTTATAGATATACTAGAGGCCCAGTGCACGAAATTCATGCACGGGGGGGCGGGGGGAACCCCCTCAGCCCAGCCTGCACCCTCTCCAATCCGGGACCCCTCGGGGGATGTCCAACTGCCAGTTTAGGCCCGATCCCAGGGATCGGGCCTAAACTGGCAGTCAGACATCTCTCTCACAATCCTGGACTG